GGTATGGTGCTGCATTCCTGTAATCCCAGCACTTGGCAGGTGAAGGCAGGATTGTGAGCAGGAGGCCGGCCTGGGCTACCTAGCGAGACCATGTCTGGGAGGTGGCTCGGTGGTACAGCACGTGCCTACCACGCACAAGGCCCCGGCTTCAGTCCCCGGCACCACAAGCAAACAGAAAGGAGACCCTAGTACTCAGCTCTGGCTACAGCTGTGTGGAGAAAGCAAATTAACTCACATGTTGTAATTAGAGTAGTATTGGGTTTAAAAAAAACGAAACAGCTTTATGGTAAGACATGTTTTCAAATTTGATAGAAACTTGTGATTATAAAAGATATTTCTATTTATACTTCTGTCCTCTTAGTTGTTTCTAAAACTATTTATTTGAACTCTTTTTCTTCTTAATTATAAGTAGACCAACTTTTGGCTTTGTTCTCTTTTGGTTTCCTGCTTAATTAATGTCTACTCTATTTCCTCTTATGCACTTCGTCTTTCTTTTGTATTTGTATTTTCTAATTTTGATGCTGATTCTTAATTTTACCTCTTAGCCCATTAACTAGAATTTTTTCTAGCTAATTTGTGCTCATTATCTTTTGTTGATTTCTCACAACTGTATTACGATCAAGAAAATGATACTGATTCTTTGAAATGTGTTTTTTTTTTTTTTTTGTGGCACTCAGGCTTGAACTCAGGGCCTTCACCTTGAGCCACTCCACCAGCCCTATTTGTGTTGGGTATTTTTGAGATAGGGCCTCATAAACACCCATGATCCTCCTATCTCTACCTCCTCAGTAGCTAGGATTACAGGAGTGAGCCACCAGCGCCCAGCAAAGTCTATTTATACAACTGATAGTTCTCTGATATCTTTTCTCACCTTTTGGATTTCACCATTACTATCTGTGTTTTTCTTTAAATAGCACATAGAGGACTGTTTCAAATCTCGTCCAATGACCCAGTGCTTTTTGCAGGAGAGTTCAATCCATTTACAATCAGATTTACTTCTATCAGATTATTTTGTTTGTTACAGCCACTCCTCTTCTGTGCCACTGTTCATACCTTGGTTCTATCAGTTCCGTTTTGTTTCCTGAAAGCACTGTACTGGAGCACACAATGAATTGTGTGAAGGGCTCCAAGAGGCAGCTCTTCAAACTGTTGAGATCATACTTAATCAAGGGTAAATTTGATAAATCTTTTTAATCTTTTAGAAAGATATAAGGTTTTTAGATGGAGTAATTTCAATTATCTATCTTACGTGCTCTAGGTTACACAGGCCATAGGTTACCTTGAATTTTTACTTTATGTTTTTGCCTGCCACAAATTAGTTACTACCTTACTCTGTCAACATTTCTTTGAAGTGTTTTCCATTTATACTATAACTTCTGACATCTCAAACTTTCTGAGATAATTTCTTCTTTAAAGTGTTATCTTCAGAAATTCCTTTAGTGAGGCAACTTTGCTGGTATATTTTGTTTTTGTTCATGTGCGAATATCTTAATTTCACCCTCTTTGATAAGCCATATATCAGAATTCTGCACCAACTTTTTCTTTCTTTTGGTGCTGGGATGGAACCCAGGGCCTGGCACATGCTAGGCAAGCACTCTGCCACTGAGCTACAGGCTTTTTTATTTTTGGCAGTAGTGGGGATTGAACTCAGGACCTTGAGCCTGCCCTGCATCAACACTTTTTGATTGCTGATGGAAATCAGTAGAAAGCTGAAAACTACACATTTGAAGAAGTGAGAAGGTAAGCTCTACTTCATTTTATATAGATTAAATGCAGGTCTGAGCTATGTTTCACAAGCATCTTTTTACTAGATTCTCATGAGGACCCCGAGAAAAGTTTGTTGTGGGAAAAGTGTATTAAGATGCCATTTTCTGCAGGTAGGTAGGATAGATGGACAGGCTAAATCTCTAGGACTTGTCATCACTCTCTCCACTGCTCCTTTGGTCCTGCTCAGCATCCCTGGGTTTGCCATCCATGTAATCTGCTGTGCCATTCCTCTCTTTCAACCTGATTGTGTCTACAAGTATTAAAACTTCTACAGTGTTCACAAAGTTCCATTCGTACAACTTTTAGTGTAAAAGAATTTTTTATTAACCAGTATTTTTAATTCCTTCCATCAGGTCAGATAACAAATCTTTTTAAGACAATGAAGTCTTTGGTCTGACACGTTAATATACAATTGATAATTTAAGTCAGTACAAAAGTTCATTATTTTTTAATCATGTTCCTGAAGAGTAAGTTATAAATCTGTGAATAACAATCCATTAAATTAACACTTCATTTGTACAAAAGAGAAATGGAAGCTCCTATCCTATTTAAGGCTAGAATTCTGCTGAAGTCACACACCCTTCCCCAGACTCTAGGGCTTTGTTCATATGGCTTATGAGCTAAAAGGAGTAGTATTCCAAAGCAAAACAACAGATTGTATGGATCACACATCATGACCTGAGGGGAAATTAGCACGTTCCCCCAATTTAAAAATATCTATAAATTACTTACGTGCAACAGTGTTACAGGTAATAAATATGCAAATTGTATTAATGGTGAAATTAGTTAACATGACTTAGTGAGAGCCTGTGGATGCATAGGTGTGAACACATCTAGCTTTACTGTCAATTAGACTATCATTTGTGGTTGAAGGCAAACACTGCACAAGGGATGTTGGTCTGACTTTTTACTGTCTGCTGACAGTATGGTTTCTCCTCAGCCCTTAATAGTAGTTCCTAGAGCAGGATTTCTCTTTGATGAGGAAGATCCCATGAGGCCCCATGAGAGCGTGGGGAAGTGAGGGAAGGGAGGAGGATGCTCATGATCACTGCCTAAAGCAACTGGGAATCCATCACCAAGCGCTCAGGAAGGCAGAGTATTTGAACCAAATCCTGCCCTTATGGGTTAGTGATTGCCCAGCCTGCTCCACAAGCAGCCCAGCTGGCTCTGGCTTCCGGAAGACAACTCAGAAACCCTGGGGTTTTGCAAACTGCAGGTGAATTACAGCAGACCCTGAGCCAACAGGTGGAGCACAGACAGCAAGTTACATCTGCTATGCCTGCACTAATATTCAATCTTGATTTCTTTGCAGGAGTCTTTTATGTGAGATGGGGGTCTCAATATGTAGCCGAGGTTGGCCTTGAACTTGCAATCCTCAAGAGCTGGGACTGCTGGGATTTACAGGTGTTCAGGATTCTTAACTCTTAAAAAACATCTTTGTTAGCTGGGTGATGGTGGCTTATACCTGCAATCCTACACTTAGGAGGCTGAGATCAGGAGGATCTTGGTTGGAGGCCAGCCCAGGCAATAGTTCACAAGACCCCCATCTTCAAAACTACCAGAGGGAAAAAAGACTGGATCAAGTGGTAGAGTGCCTGCTTTGCAAGCATGAAACTCTGAGTTCAACCACAGTCCCCCCCCCACCCCAAACCAATACCATTGTTTGATGAGTGAATTTACATTCAACTGAATAGGTAATATATAAATGAACAAACCCACAATAGCATAACTGTCTACTTCTTCCACAGAGTAACTCACATACATAGGTAACACACAGCATTTTTTTTCTTTTTTTCCTTTTATTCATATGTGCATACAATGTTTGGGTCATTTCTCCCCCAACATACAGCATTTTGACATGTAGACTTAAGGACACTGTGGGGTCAAGTTGACCACCAAGTACTGACACAATTAGCTCATCTTGGGATTATAAAACATAAACCCAATTTCCAAAATTTGCTTCCTCCACCACAATGTATTACCTGTGTACTTCTTGAGGTGCACGCTTGCTATTCTGGCCTTTCTAGACCAAAGTGTACAGTCTTCCCCAGCTCTCAGTTGGAAATAACTCATTTTAAGGTATGTCTGACTCTTCTAAACTAGTAACACGCAGTTCTAAGATAGTTTCGGGATTTGTTTATCACTTAATGAGGAAGGGATGAACATTTCACAGAGTTCCTTAAATAAGCTACCTTCCCTGTGTTGGAAAATTCTACAAAACCCAACCATTATGCACACCCACCCTGCAAGTGTGATATAGATCAAAATGCTCCAGTTGGCTGGGCACAGTCTTGGGAGACTGGGCCAGGAAAATCATGAGTTCAAGGTCAGTCTGAGCAACATACACAACATAGTGAGAACTTGTCTTTTTTTTTTTTTTTTTTTGGCAGTACTGGGCTTTGAACTCTGGGACTACAACTTGAGCCACTCCATCAGCCCTGTATTGTGATGGGTTTTTTCAAGATAGGGTCTTGTGAACTGTTTGCCTGGGCTGGCTTCAAACCACGATCCTCCTGAGTAGATGGGATTACAGGTGTAGGCCACCACCACCCAGCTTGAGACCCTGATTTTAACAGTAACAAAAAGTGCTGGCATTGCACAGTTTTGGAAGGCAAAAAGGTAGCAGATTAGCAGGTGGCTCCTTATATCCTTCCTTATATAGAAATGATAGCTAAGCTGGGCTACTCAGGAGGCAGAAATCAGGAGGATCAGCGTTCAAAGCCAGCCCCATGCAAAGAGTTCAAAAAAACACATCACAAAGAAGGGCTGGCTGGCAGAGTGGCTTAAGTGGTAGAGTGCTGCCTAGCAAGCATGAAGTCTTGAGTTTGAACCCCAGTACTGCCAAAAAAAACCCCAAAAACCGAAAACCCAATTCTACACATTTTTCAAAGTCAGTCTCCTAAAGGAGTTGCAGAATACAGATGAGAAATGCGTTTAAACTTTCCTAAACAAATGAGTGCTCACCTGAATTCCAAAAATGTGTCAGTTACGAATGTTCATTTTATTTAGTATGAATGTGTAAATTACTTAGTTTCAAAACAAGCTTAGTACCAAGTTTGTTATCAATCTTCAATGGCCAAGAAACAAAACAGTCTGAGTGTATTGTACTACTTTAAAAAATCCATTCTGTGCAGTACCACTAAAACAAAAAGAAAAAAAAAAGAAAAAGAAATTTATTCTGTGTAGAAATGCTGTGAGTTTAAAACTTTACAATCAAATCACTTTAGTCTATAAAAGACCTTTTAAAACTTGTATTATAGCTTGTAAAAGACTATTTCATGATATGTATCAACAAAACTCAACCCCACTTTCTCTGATAATAAAAAAGTGTTTTCTTAAACTGTTACTTTTTAAATGACGTGAAACTAATGAGAACTGGTTGGTGCTTTTAGAGTCATCTTGTTTGGAGAAGAATATTCTGTGCCTTACCACTTGTTGCCACGCCTTACAGAGATAGGGTCTGTAGTCCACATCTGTGTCAAAGGGATGTTTAAAGGCAGAAGGTCCTTCTGGCGAGACTGATGCTTTTTGCATTATACTTTGAGTTGTTGCAAAAAGAACCAGGCGATACTCATTGACAAGTTTCTCTAGGAGCTGAGCACATTTCTTCAGAGTAGACTCCTGTAAGTTAACACTTTCTCCTCCATTGACTCGGTCTATCCAGTAAAATGCTGACAGGGAATCCAAAATCAAAAGGCAGAGACAGGGGTGACTACAAAACATTGTTTCCAGTGAATAGAGCGTGAGGAGTAACTGGGTGCTGCTGCTGCAGTATACCAAAAACAATCTTCCAAGGCAGTGTTTTATTGTTTCTTCAGAGCTGTGGGATAGTCTATGCTCAAGAATTGTAACAAGCCGAAGCATGTCAAAGTGGTAATCTGTATCAATAAATAAGACTTCTACTTCCAGGCCACCTTCTGATTTTGGAAGTATACATCGTGCTGTTACATGATAAAGCATTTCTGTTTTTCCTGTTCCTTCTGGACCATGAAATTCGAGAATGTCACCTGTATAAAGTTTTAAAATGTCAGTCAACAGCACAACAATAGGCTACCAAATGAAAAGATTGCAAAAAGGTTTAGAAAGACATTCACTGGAGTGTGGATGAAAATCTAAATTCACTTGCCAAAATGGGTCTGACAAGCAAATAAAAATAAAGAAAGAAATTATTATTTCATCTCTGAGAAAAAGAGTCTGTTTTTAAAATTTTTGCTGGTGCTGGGGATCAAAGTCAGGGCCCTGCATGAGGTAGGAAGGTTCTCTACCATTGAGCTACACAGACCTAGCCCAGCAGCCAGCTACTACCTACCATCAAGAAAATGTAAAAAGCGAGTAAGAAGGTTGTGGGGCCCAGGGCAGTGTCCTGGCAGGGAGCATGTGCACTTCACCAACCTGGTGATGTTAGAGGAAGGACAGTGCTACAGACCCAGGGCCATTCAAAACTCTGCTGGTCACTACCGCTGTTGACTGTATAGTTCCACTTTTTCCTCTTCGTAAAGCATAGACTCCTGATTTGTGGCAGAAGGCAAGGGCTCCACCTTAAAAACCACCTTTCTTAGCCTCTCTTGTCAAGAGCCGTGCCCAGGTAATATAGGTGTAGCCGCTGAGATGCAAGTTGATGTCTAAGTTGTGCATGCTATTTAGGTGTGACTCTGCCCTGCTGTTCCTTGATGGAGGTGAAGCAACCATCTTGAAACAGTGAGGATGAAAGGTGCCGTTGAGAATGGTGAAGTAGATGACAGATGGTGCCCAGGCCTGGGATAGCAGCTACACACAGCCTGCCTCAATACCAGTGAGAGAACACATCCATCCCTGGGCAGGCCCTAGTTTGGACCTCTGATACACGTGGTGGAAGCAGCCCCTGCATAGTTTCTCACACTGCTAACACTGTGAGTGTGAACTGCACACTGTGAGTGTGCAGTTTTCTCACTATGGCTCTCAGGCCCCTATATGCCAACAGTGCCCCTTCAACTCAAAATTCCCTCACTCATGTCCACAGTGCCTTTAGTTATGCTCTGCTACTGCAGCATCTCTTGGGAGCTGGGGTGCAGCTCAGTTGGAGAGCACTTGCAAGGCATGCATGAAGCCCTGGGTTTGATCCCCACCACCACCAGAAAAAAAAAAAAAAAAAGAGTATCTCTTGAAAACTGTGTTCAACTACATTATAAATTATGCTCCTAGAATTATAAATTAAAGCCAACTACTCCAAATCTCTATCTAGGTTCTAAAAGCTCTCATTAAGGCCAGCACAAGCTACACAGCACACCACCTGGGAAACTATTGCTTCCAGAGCTCTGCAAAATCCGCTCTGAAGACTAATACTCTAAATCTTCCTATCTGTCATTATTAATTTACGGCTGAGCCACCTGACTGGAAACACTGTTTAAAATACAGATTCTGGTTTTTTCTTTTCTTTTTTTGGAGGTACTGAGGTTTGAACTCAGGGCCTCATGCTTCTTAGGCAGGCACTCTACTACTTGAGCCATTCCACCAGCTGTTTTATGTTGGGTTTTTTGGGGTTTTGGCAGTACTGAGGTTTGGACTCAGGGCCTACACCTTGAGCCACTCCACCAGCCCTTTTTTATGATGGGTTTTTTTGAGATAGGGTCTTGTGATCTATTTGCCTCGGCTAGCTATGAACTGCGATCTTCCTGATCTCTGCCTTCTGAGTCGCCAGGATTACAGGGGTGAGCCACCACACCCAGCTGTGTTGGTTATTTTTATTTATTTATTTTTATTTTCTTAATGTGGTGGTTACTTTTGAGACAGGATCTTGATTTATGCCCAAGCCAGTCTGAACCACAATCCTATTTGTGCTTCCCTATGTCATGACAGGTGCTTGTTGCCACACCCAGCCACTGCTCAGGATGAGGTCTAAAGAACTTTTTGCTTGGGCTGGTCTCAACCTCCCACATAGCTAGGATTACAGGCTTGACCCACCCTGTCCAACCTATAACCTATTATTATTAACAAACCATTGGATATTGAACATTCACAAATAATGTAAAAGAAACCTAGGGTATAAAGTTACAATTTGGTAGGAGGGATAAATTGTAATGTTCTATTAAACAGGAGGGTGACTACAGTTGACAACAATATATTATATATTTCAAAATAACTAGAAGGATTTTGAATATTCTTACCATAAAGAAATGATAAATGTTTGAGGTGATGGATAGGCAAATTGCCATGTGATCATTACACAAGGTACAAATGTTCTGAAATAGCATATTGTACCCCATACATATGTACAATTATGTGACAGCTAAAATTTTTTTTAATGAACAATCTGGCAAGTTAACATTATACCATAAGAAAGTACACACAACTTCAGTCAGAGCTGGCAGAGTGGCTCAAACGGCAGAGCAAGTTTCAGGCCCTGAGTTCAAACCCCAGTACCACCAAAAACAAACTAACAAAAAAACTTCAGCCAAGGCTAGGAATATAACTCAGTGGTACAGCACTTGCCTAGTATGTGTGAGGCACTGGGTGTGGTCCCCAACACACACACACACTTTAGCCAATTTCTAATATAATCTTACAGCTTGCAACTCCAAATTTACACTGAAAAGAACTTTAAAAAATGATCCCGCCTCAAGGAGTAATTTTACATTAGTGATTGTTCCTGAGTACTCTCATTAACTTTAGCAAAGCTGTGTGGTGACGTGTCCACAGCACCAACTAACCTGTGAGGATGAGGTGAGGGGATTACTTGAGTTTGAGGCCAGCTTAGGCAGCACAGCAAGACCCATCTCCTTAAAAAACGCAAAAACCAAAACCGCTGAACATACTGACGAAGACTTCATGTGAAGCTGCATGTTCAGATGACTCTCTCCTACTGTATTACCAGGAACTAAGGAGAACCCTCCCCTAATAAGTCTTTCCTACTCCATGTTCCAGAAACAGTACACAGGATATGGAGAGTTAACAGCACCAATATTCACAGCACTGAGGAAATGGACAGTGGTCTGTGACAGTGAACCATACAGAAGCACGAGGGGAAGCCAAAAGAGAACTGCACCAAGTCCTTCTCTTCCTTCTCCTAAAGAAGCCAGAAGAGGCTGGCCTTCCTAGAGCACTTCCCACGAGAGAGGCTGCTTCACACCAGACTCATGTGGTCTGAACTCTGCAGTAGAAGAAGCAAACCTCACCGTTCTTCTTGGTCACACTACCACTCTGCATAATAATTGCTTATTTTCTTGGCTGTGTTTCCCATCAGCTTCTTTATGATTAGAACTTGAATATTCTAACCCCAGCACATAACACAGTATCTTCTGAATGGATCTTATCAGATTACTTTCTTCTCTCAGATTCTTTTGAAAGACATATAAAGAAGGAAAATGGAAGGCTGGTCATAGTGGTTTATGCCTATAATCCCAGCATTTTGGATCAGGACTGTGGTTCAAAGCTAGCCTGGGCAAAAAGTTGGCAAGACCCCATCTCAACAAATAAGTGGGATGTGGTGGTACATACCTGTATTCCCAGGTACAAGGGGAGATGTAGGTAGGAGGATCATGGTCTGAGGCCATCCCAGACAAAAGCAAGACCCAATCTGGCCAGGTGCTGGTGGCTCACGCCTGTAATCCTAGCTACTCAGGACCTGGGCAAATAGTCTGCAAGCCCCTATCTTGAAAATACCCAACACAAAAAAGGGTTGGAGATGTAGCTCTAGTGGAACACCGGCTTAGCAAGCACAAGGATTTGAGTTCAAACCCCAGTACTGCCAAGAAACAAAACAAAATAAAAAACAAAAATAAAATAAAAAGGAAAACATAAGCTGTAGCTGGTGATGGATAAAGGTCTAAGTCAATTTTGAAAGGAAACAGACCTGGTAGAGAGTCCCAGGTGGCAAGTGTGGCCATGCTTAGCAGATTCCTGCAGGTATGGAGGCCCTCAACTAAGGGTTGGCACAAAGACCCAGCACAGGAAGCACAGCAAGAACAGGGGCTGGCAGAGTGGCTCAAGTGGTAGAGCCCCTGCCAGAAAATGTGAAGCTCTGAGTTCAAACCCCACTACCAAAACAAAAAAGAACAGTAACAAACTAGTGCTGGCCTACCCCCTGCCCCGCTTCCCACACTTAGGATGTGTCAGGTCCTGAGCTGGCCCTGAACTGTAATCCTCCCCATCTCTCAAATTGCTGAGATTACAGGCATGAGCCACTGTGTCTGTAATGGTAAACCCCAGGGATAGGCTAGAAGTATCTATACAAATCAAACACATACATGAAGTAGGGATTTTTAATTCTTGTAACTCATACACGAATTTACACACAATCCTGACAAGAATTTAGTTTTCTGTGGCAATATGGATGGAACTAGATGTCATGCTCAGTGATGTAAGCCAGGCAGAGGAAGACAAACACTGCACATCCTCACTCATATGTGGAAGATAAAAATGTTGACCTCAGAAGAAGAGAGCAGAATAGTGGTTACCAGAGGCTGGGAAGGAAAGGGGAAAAGAGGGTAAAGGGCTGGTTAACAGCTCCAAGAATACAATCAGATAGGATTAAGTCTAGTGTTCTACAGCACAGTGGGATGAATATAGATAACAATAACTTATCTATAGGTTTCAAAATAGGTAGAAGAGAGGATTTTGAACATTTCCAACACCAAGAAATGCCAAATGTTTGATGTGATGGAAACGCTAATTTCCCTGACTTGATCTCACACATTGTGTACACGTATCAAAGTATCCCACTGTCCTCCATAAATATGCACAGTCCTTATAAGCCAAATTAAAAGAAAGAGACATGGAAAGTAACAAAGAGGAGCTGGGCACGGCCCAAGCAGTATAGTGACTGTCTAGCAAGCGCAAGGCCCTCAGTTCAATTCCCAGCACTACAAAAAGTAACAACAGCAACAAAAAAGTAACAAAGATTTTGCTTTTCAAAATAGTCAATGTATCTCTAAGTGTCACATAATAAAAATGTCTTACAGCCACTAGGATTAAAGACTTAAGAGGCTGGATGCAGTGATATGGGAACAACTTACACAGAAACAATACAGAGAGAACAGAAGACTCTCTGACGGGAGGGTATGAACCCAAAATTAAGAATAAAAGTCATGGGATGGGAGCATGGCTCCAGTGGTAGAGCGCCTACTTGAGAAGCACAAGGGCCTGAGTTTAAAACCCTGGTATTGCCTCCCCGAAAAATACCAAAAACTCAAGTCTTGGTATACATTCACAGAGTCAGCCGAAGATAGACAAAACTGTCTATCTTCATTTATTTACATAAATAATAAAACTTAAAATACACGAGTAGTTAGAAAGTGAATAGAATGGATTATTTTCATCATTATTATTATGAATTGCTATTATTATTTTGTTGGACTGGAGATGGAACCCAGGCCCTCACACATGCTAGGCAAGTGCTTTACCACTGAACTATACCCTAGTTCAGTGGATCCATTACTTCTTTTTTAAAAATTAGGGTGTGTTAATTAGACAAATAAAGACATTTCCATACATTCATATAATGTACTTTGATCATATTTATTATTTTGGGTTTATTAAATTAATATATTGTTGTATTGGGGGTACACTGTGACATTTAAAATATATCATAGTTGAATTCACCCCTCCATCATTCTCCTTTATCCCCCCTCCTCCCATATTCATTATTTTGAAAGTAAAAAAAAAATTTCAGTAGTAATTTCATGAAACTAGAGGATCCAATAACAATAATTTAAGAAACATAACAAATTCTAGGTGAATAGGGAGGAACTCCACAGGAAAAGAAAATTACTTAAAGGTGGGCACAGTGGCTCATGCCTGTAATTCCAGTTACTTGGGAGGTGGAGATTGGGAGGATAGTAGTTCAAGGCCAGCAAGGGGAAAAATTTAGCAAGACACCCCCATCTCAACCTACAGGCTGAGTGTAGTGGCACACACATGTGATTTGTAGGGACCTGGGAGGAGAATCACCATCTGAGGCTGGCCTGAAACACTACCCAAAAAACAACCAAAGCAAAACAAAGGGTTAAGGATATAGGGATGTGGTTCAAGTGTCAAAACACCTGCCTAGCAAGCTGTAGGCCCAGAGTTCAATGCCCAGTACCTCCAAATAAAAAAAAAGAGAAAAAGAAAAATACATGAAACTGGTCAAAAGGAAACTGTGAGACATCTTTGGATATTTCAGAATTCTCAGAATAGGGAAACAATGAAAACTTTGCCAAAGATTTGTTTATTTGCAGTGGTGGGACTGAACCAAGGGCTTATGCCAGTAAATGCTGAGTTACATCCCAGCCCCCGCCAACTATTTTCTTGAAGAGCAGTGGTGATCATGCACACAACTCGAAAAGACTGGACTGTCATGATGAAACCCTTATTATGTACAATTTAATATATAAAGTAAAAAAATGGAAAAAAGAAGTACCCAAAGGCACGTACCTAAGTGATTTAGCAAGGCTTTCTAAATCCATACATTAACTAAGAAATACCTGAGGTAAGTACATGCATTCTTTAGACCTTGGTTTGGCATGACTGAACTTGAGGCAAAGAATTTAAGGTTAAATCCTCGGTTGAGAGATTAATTCATAGATAACAATTAATGACAAAGCAGGTATAAAACATAACTGGGGACTGGAAACTTGGCTCATGTGGTAGAGAGCTTACCTAGCAAGTGTGAGGCCCTGAGTTCAAACTCCAGTACCATAAAAAAAAAAAAAAAAAAAAAAAGTCAGGTACCAGTGACTCACACCTGTAAACCTAGCTAGCTACTTGGGAGGCTGAGATCTAGGCAAATAATTCTTGAGACTCCCATCTCCAAAATAATCAGAGTAAAATGGACTGACTAGAGGTATGGCTCAAGTGGTAGAGCACCTGCTTTGCAAAAGTGTGAAGCCTTAAGTTCAAATCCCAGTCCCACCAAAAACAAAAAAACAAAAATACAACTGGGGAAGTATAATCTGCAAACTTACAAGTTATATATAAATATTATTATTAAAGTCCTCGAACTAAATTCCCTACAAATATGCTTAATGATGCTCAAACTAGTTTTACTGGTTTTATAAACATGTACTATTCAGTAAGATAAAAAATTGGGCTCAGACATTATGTTCTATGGAGAGGACCCTGGTCCTTTTAACTTTATTTAAAGTCACTGTCTCATATGTTCCGATAAGCTGTTACAAAAAATAGCACCCCTGTCCAGTCAAAGTACTGAATATGGTAACTTAGAGTTAAAAAAATAAATCTCTACAGTTTGGCACTTGAAAAAAATGAAACTAACTCAGAAAATCTGGAATGTTTGGCCCTGACAGTTACTCTTACAAATAGATGCTGTACGGAGTCAGGGTAACAGATTGTAGGAGAGTTATGAATCTAAAGATCCTTCAAAATAAGGAAAGAAATGCCAAAAAATACATCATCTTGGTACCAGCCTACGAAACATGTAACAAATACATTTAATTTGCAAATTATAGTCATGATAGTACTGAAGAAGTATGAATTGGTACATGGTAATAACTACTATCCAAAAAAGCATCAAAAATGTTTACTGGGCACTAGAGACTCCTGGAACCCCTGAGCATCTTACTGCTTCAACCTAAGCTTCCCTTTAACAATTCCCATAACTAATGTTACTAATCATATAATCCCAGTCTTCTTTTTTCTCCCTATTGTGTTAGGAATTAAACCCAGGACCTTGCTCAGGCTAGGCAAGTGCTCTATTACATAAGACATGCACCCTCCGCCCATTAGCATTTTGTTTTTGAGAGAGGGTCTCCCTGACTTTGCAGAGGCTGGTCTTGAACACCTGATCCTCCTGCCTTTGCCTCCTGAATAACTGGGATTATGGACACGTATCCCCTTACATGGTTATAATTCCAGTTTTATATCTGCTATTGTTCCAAAGGGGTATTTGTCTAATTAGTTCCACAGCTCTAAGATATATGATAGGGTCAACTTTTTTTTTTTTTTTGGCAGTACTGAGGTTTGAACTCAGGGCTTCTCACTTAAGTGAACTCTTTTGTTAGTGATTAAATATGATAGTGTTTTTCAAAGTTTCTGTAACATAAAATTCTTTTCATAGAACCAGAGTTTGAACTCAGGGTCTTGTGCTTGCTAGATGCTTTATTACTTGAGCCATGTCCCCATGATATATATAATATACACAATATTCTTATGTAGAAGTTGTGCTATAAACCCCTCTTTTAACATATTAATGTCAGTTTTATAAGGTTCATCTTAATAATATGCTTTCCTATAGAGAAAACACAAAGGCAGTTTTTTCCTAACATATTTGATCAAACTTGTCTTTTATTATTGATATTTTAGCACTTTTTGAGTAGCAGCTCTGCTGCACTAGCAATAGTCCAGGGAATCCTTTGGGCCTCAGCCTCCCATTTGCTGGGATTGCACACATAGCATGTGCCACCACACCTGCTCCTAATTTTTTAATTGTTCAGTTTAACCTGTATCACCTCTTACTTGGAGCATATGTACACAGTACACATATGAACGCATGTAGACAAAAACTTCCTTTATAAAACTGCATTCATGACACTTTTTATTTAAAGTTGTGTTTTTACCTTGCACTGGAGAATCTTCATCAGCAAACAGAATTGGTTCCATTTCTTTTAAGGAACTTCTACCTTCAAGTCGGGCAAGAAGCTTCAAAACAAAAAGAAAGGAAAACTCATTACTTAAAAAAGTAAAATCCGAGAAGTCTACATTTATATGATTTTCCAAAATTTGTAAGAAAGACTTCATACCCTTGAGGATTTGGAGGAAAATATGAAAGGGGAAATACAACTTCGGAGAGATATTATGTTCATCTACTCCTAAAACATTTCATGTTTTGTTAACATATGAAAAACTTTGGGTTTTAAATGAGTCTGTGCCCTTGAAGGAGTGGATAGGCAACTTAAGACATCAGTCCAAACTGCTAATTGCAGAGCATTTACCTTCGATACGCCTTATAATCCTCTTTCTCACAGGACTTACTGCACCTGTTATATACTTACCTGCTTCAATTTGCCCCATTTCACCTGGGGGGTGGTGGGGGACAAAAGGAAAAGGCTGCCAGCTGAGCTGTGTTTCAAGGTAAGTAAGAATCCATCATGGATTCCATCTATGGGCCACAGGTAGGTGTGCCAGACACGTGGGACAAGGGTAGCAAAGCACAGAGGTCATAGATAGCAGTGTTTGTAGGCAAGTTGTAAGCTAATGTGAGTTCAAGAGCTTGTGGCATGAACAGAGGGAGATAGTACGTGAAGCCCTAAAGAGACCAACAGTCACAGAATGGAAAGTCTTAGGTGCTATGTTTAGGAGCTTTTGCTGGCTTATAGACAAAACAAGGGGTTTAAAACCAAGCGGTGAGAAGCAGTCTCCTATAGGTAAGGGCAGACAGTAGTGACTCCAGAACCAGCCTGCTAGGCCTTCCTGTGTCCCATAGTTCTCTGCAAAGTAAGGCTAACAGAGCTTCCTTTGTTAAGGATAAGAAGTGTTAAGAACGCTTGGCATAGAAGTAAGCACTATGTAATCAGGTGTTCTTAGTGTCTGCATTTCAAACATCATCCTCTGGACAATCTGTACTAGGGGACAGATTTGAGGAGAGTAAAACCAGTTAAGGTGAAAAGGCTGGTTTGTCTCACGGTCTGGAGGAGTGTCTGCACCATGACAAAAGTAGCTAAGATGACAAAGCAGAGAAATGTCAATGAAGGAAATGTAATTAAAGCTAGTTCTGCAGTCAAATCAGCAGATTTGACAACACCTCTCTGTACAACAAAAGAAAGAAAAATATAGCATATCACAAATAGGAATTAAAACAGTCACCTTTATTTGCCTTTTTCTTTTTTTTTTTAACTGAAGCCAAGGTTTGGAAAGATTTACTGAAGTGATGAAAGGTTCTACATGTTAATTTCACTAATATTTGAATGGTATTGTGTACAAAGCAAATACATCTCCTACAAATACAAATGTATCTACCTATGCCAGGTTAAAATGAAGACTACAAAGATGCAGACAATTAACCACTCTCACAGAACTTGCAAGCTAGTCTGTGTCCTGTAGATTGTAGTACCAAAGAGGGTGAAGATACAGTGCTTAGAGTTACAGTGGAGATTTTGTTTTTTTTTTTTTTGCCGCACTGGGGTTTGAACTTAGGGCCTACACCTTTAGCCACTCCTCCAGACCTTTTTGTGTTGCATTTTTTTTCAAGATAGGCTTTTGTGAACTATTTGCCCAGACCGGCCTTGTGCCGTGATCCTCCTGATCTTTGCCTCCTGATCAGCTACAAGCGTGAGCCACCAGCGCCCTGTTTAGAGTGGAGATTCTTGAGGGCATATCTGCAGTCAAAACTGTCCTTAGAAAAAGGTAAAAGCACTAAGACACTACTTGTACACTGATGGTATAAAATAGCACCTCAGGCAATCAAGTCAGTGGCAATGAAATGTATAAGCATACACTAAATTCTATTCACTCACAATAAAATGAAATGAGTTTTACTAAGAATGTTTAGTGTTATTAAATGACAACGCTTGGGTATACTTTTAAAAAATTCCTTGCGTGAATTTAACTAAGATATATTGTAAACACTTTTGTAAATGTCACAACATATCCCCAATGCGATAATGTAATAAATTTTTTAAATAAATTAACTTAAAAAAGAGAATAAGTAAAATAAAATGTGAAAGGAACAAAGTATTCCTTGTGATGACCTGGGAAGCATACTGTGTAGTAAATAATTTAACTATGCCCCAAAAAAGTTCTGGTCTTTGTGCATGTCTGCTGGCAGGTAATGCATAAAGAATGTCCTGCCTGGTAAGTGGCCTTGGCCTTGAGCCACACCAAACAGGCTAAGAATGTGATTTATGGGGATTTGAGGTTTAGGCCACATGGTATCAAGCTGACTATCTGATGGACTGGAGGCTGAGGTAGGCTGTCCACATGGCAAGGCACAAAGAAAGGCTCCCTGCTTGGCAACATTCTGTCCACTGACAAACATTGTTGCTAGAATTTAGCTTAGGTGACAACTCCACTGGAAGAGGGCAATTAGCTCTGTTTGGAACAGTTCTGGACCAGGTCCTATTATATCTCTTCTTTGGTTCATTTTAATCCTTGCACTGCTGTAAACCATAACCACAACTGTCACAGTTTTTCAGTGAGTTCTGTGTGACTTATTGAGCTTGAAGGTGGCTGTGATGGCTATTTATTTTCCAGTAGTACTAGGGAATGAACTCAGGGCTTCACACTAACTAGGCAAACACTATGCCACTGGAGCTAAGCCCCATTCCTATGATGGTTAGTTATGTGTCAACATGTATTAGCAAAAAGATGCCCAGATATCTGGCAAAGTGCTGTTTCTGGGTATGCCTGCAAGGCTCTTTCTAAAGACACTAGCATTTGAAATCAATGAACTGAGTGAAAACTGATCCACACTCATTCATGTGGATGGGCACTGTCCAATCCCTCAAGGGTCCAAGTAGAACAAAAAGGCAAAGGCTGGGTTCTCCCTCTTCCTCCTCTTATTTATTTGCTAATAGGACTGAGCTTTGAACTTAAGTCTTTATGCTTGCAAAGCAGATACTCTACTGCTTCAGCTACACCTCTAATCCATTTTGCTCTGCATATTTTAGAGATTGGGGGGGGAGTCTCATGAATTATTTGTCCAGGCTGGCCTCGAACCACAATCCTCTCAAACTCAGCCCCTCAAGTAGCTAGGATTACAGATGTGAGCCACTGGCATCCATCTTTTTAACTTTTAAATATGTAATGCAGTTTTTATTTTATTGGTGGTACTGGGGTTTGAACTCAGGGCCTCATACTTTCTAGGCTTGCTAGGCAGGCACTCTACCACTTGAGCCACTCCACCAGCCTTGTTTTATATTGGGTTTTTTCAAGATAGGGTCTCACTATCTGTTTGACTGGGATGGCTTGGACCTGCGATCTTCCTGATCTCCTGAGTAGCTAGGTTATGCAGTTTTAAGATAAAAAAAAATTATGAGCTGGGTGCCGGTGGCTCATGCCTGTAATATTAGCTACTGAGGACACAAAGATCAGGAGGATCGTGGTATGAAGCCAGACTGGGCAACCAGTTCATGAGACCCTATTTTGAAAAGCCCTTTACAAGGGCTGGTAGAGTTGCTCTAGGTAGAGACCCTGAGTTCAAATCCCAGTACCAAAAAAGAAAAAATTAGAAGTTTTAGAGTCCAGCTTGAAGAATAAGACAGAAAAACTTTCATAGACAAGATGGAGCATCTGACATAAAATAACTGTTAAACGTCTAAAAAAACATGTACAAATTCAAGAGAATAATTGAGCCGGGTGCTGGTGGCTCACACGTGTAATCCTAGTTGCTTGGGAGGCAAATAGTTTGTAATCCCTATCTTGAAAATATCCATGACAAAAAATGGGGCTGGTGGAGTGGTTCAAGTAGCAGAGCACCTGCCTACCAAGTGTGATGCCCTGAGTTCAAACCACAGTGCCCCGCCCCCGCCCCCGCCCCCCGCCAAAAAAAAGAACAGGGAAAGCACAAAATCAAAATTGCAGGAACTTTTTCTGTTAATTTTTCAGTGCTGGGCGCACTGCACATGCTAGGCAAATGCTCTACCAGTGAGATATATTCCCAGCCACTGCCTCAAAATACATGAAGCAAAACTAATACAGCTAAAATGAAAAACAGACAAATCCGTAATTATAGTTGGAACTGTGAAAGCCACTCTCCACAACTGAAAACTACTAGACAGAAAATCAGCAAGCATACAAAACATCTAAACAACATATGCAACCAACAGGCTCTAATAAACACAAAGAACAAACTACCTAGTAGCAGAATGCACAATTTTTTCAAGTACCCATGGAACAAATTCAATAAAATGGACAATGTTCTGGACTATAAGACAAACTTCAACAAATTTAAAATCTGAGAGCATACAGTGTTCTCTCTGACCATAATTGAAACTAGAAATAGAAACAGGAAAAATTAAAGGAGTTCTTACCAAATTTCTTGTATTTTCTCAGTGACACATGAAGCAAGGTAGGAAGTGGAGAGGTAGGAAGTGGAGAGGAAGGAAGAGAAGGAGGGCATGAAAGTCATCCACCAAACAAATACTGAGTGCCTACTGAGGGCTAAATATTTTCTAGACACTGCACTAAAGGCGTAAGCCCAACCAACAACAAATGTTACTCCTAGGAGCCTGTGATGGCGGGGGTGGGAGGTGGGAAGGAAAACACCACATAAGTGTTCAGCAGCAGCAGGGTGAAAGAAGAAAGACTTGGCAGTAGGAAGTGCTGCTTTAAAACAGATGATCAGAAAGGGCTTCTGTGAGCTGGTGTTTGAGCAGAAAGCTGAAAAAGTGGTGAAAGGAGCCCTATGAAGTCCTGAGGCACTAGCAATCCAGGCAGTGTGAACAGAGGTACAGACTCTAAAGGTGAAGCTTACTGGAAAATTAAGGAACTGTAGCTGAAGAAGAGGGGGGAGAAGGTGGTAGACAGATCACAAGGATGGGAGATGAGATCAGAAGCTATGTGTGGGACTGAAGAGCAAGTCAGGAAGTGCAGGATAGGATTCTGATCTGTCAGTGATACAGGAGCCTGGACAACTTTGAGCAACAGAGGTTGCTTGTATTTTAAGTGGATTACTTTGGACACCACATGGGAAATACACTAGGGTAACAGAAAGGCTAAAAGCAGAGATCAGTTAGGTCACTACAATAAAGTAGGTGACTAGGAACAGGAATGGTCACAGTAAAGGTATTAACAATGATAAAACCCATGACATTCTCTGAAGGTGTAAGGAGACAGAAGTTGCTAATGAACTGAGCAGGAACTGATGTGAGACATGACAGAAAAAAGCAGATTCAAGGATGATTCCAGGCGTCTGACTTCTGCCACAGGGAATGAAATCACCATTTAACAAGATAGGAAGATGTGAGAAGCAGGTTGGGGTGTAGCCATGTGGTGGTTTAGGATGCATTTAGTTTCTCCCCCACTTTATTTTTTCTTTTGGAGACACTGGGGTTTGAACTCAAGTCCTCATGCTCACTGGGCAGGTGCTCCACCACTTCAGCCACCCTATGAGCTTTTTTTTATGTGACTGATTTTTTCAAATGGATCTCTCAGAGACTATTTGCCCAGGCTGGCTTTGAACCACGATTCCGCCTGAACTCTGCCTCCCCAGTAGCTATGATTACAGGCGTGAGCCACCAGTGCCTGGCTGCCCACTTTTTTAATTTTGAAAATTTTCAAACCTACAGAGAAATTATTAGAATGTTACAAAGAACACCCATATACCTTCACCTAAATTCACTAATTGCTAATATTTTGCCACATTTGCTTTAGCATTTTTTTTTTTGCTGATCCATTTCCTTTCAAATACTTTCCTAAGTATCTTCAGAAAAAGATATTCCCTTGCATAGTCACATTACAAATGTCAGTCACGAACAGAAACAATGTTCTTTTCTAATACATACTTCTTGACAGTTTTCTTGTATCCATATTCAATCAAGGGTGAGCAGGTCAAGTTTGGGATATCTACTAAACATACACGTAGACATGTCAAGAAGTAAATAGAACACGTGTCTGGATTTCAGGGATAAGGTCAGTCTTGCAGTAAAAAACTGAAATATTCGACAAACGAAATATACTGGATTGGCTTCCTGTTTGAAGTTGATGATTATAAAGCAAAATCAATCTGCCTACCTGTGATTTTCTATAGTAATAATCAGCTAAGTGGACAGAGACACAATAAAGACTGATAGTTGGGTTTAACCATGGTTAGGTTAAGTAGGTTAGAGGCAAATGAGGCAAGGAAACTGACAGCTTTCACAATGAAATAATTGTAACGATGGAGCATGGATTCTACTCTGTGTGAAGATAGAAGCATTGCTTTAGGTCTGTGATTACACAATAAATGCTAACCAAGCTGTGCATAGTAGAGCATACCTGTAATCCCAGCTGCCTGGGAGACGGAGGCAGGATGACTGCATGTTGAAAGCCAGCCCCAGCAAAGTTAGCAAGACTCTATGTAAAAAAAAAAAAAAACCCCAAAATTCAGGGTTTGGGGTTATAGTTCAAGTGCTAGACTGCCTGCCTAGCATGCTTGAGGCCTTGGTTTCAATCCACAGCACTGAAAATAATGAAAAAATAACTATTTGTCTTATTTAATATTTGCCTTTGGCAAAGTCATCCAGTATCTTTTTAAAAGAAAACTGCTGGATGCCAGTGGCCTATGTGGTTAATCCTAGCTACTTGGGAGTCTCAGATCCAGAGGACTGCGGTTTGGGGGCCAGCCCAGGTAAATAGTTCAAGAACTCAAGCACGAAGCCCTGAGTTCAAACCCCAGTCCCACCAAAAAACCAAGAAAAACAGGGCTGGCACAGTGTCTCAAGTGGTAGCGCCTGCCTAGCAAGCGTGAGGCCCTCAGTTCAAGTCCCAGTGTCGCCAAAACAAACAAACAAACAAATCAAACTTCGGTCAGTCATCTCCTCCTGAGATTAATCTTCCATAGTGTCAGCGCCCCTCTTTTGGACCGCATGCTTTTACTATATGCTGTAAATTTTCAGGCGGCCTGGATTACTAGGTGCAATTACTAATTCTTTGGTGCAGAGCTGTGTCTTTCGTCTCTCACTCCTACTCCTTAGCCAGTTGCTGACCCACAGTAAGGGATCAACACTTGCTTGGTCCATTCCTGAAAGCATGCTTGCAGGGAACCACATGGCTCCTGTGGCTGTGTAGATCCGTAGGCCGGAGAGACCCTGCGGGTCCCCGTGCCACACACAGGTAGGGACGCGCGGATTGCAGAGAGGTGCAGCAATCTGCTCCAATCTCGCTTGTTCCAGAAAAGCTTCCAAAGGCGCTCCACCCGGAGGCCCTGCCTTATCCTGGCTTCTCTTGCCATCTCTATCTAACAGCAGTTAATTACCTGCAGGTTTTAGGCCGCCATCCTCGCGGGCGGGCGGAGCTCCCGCGTTTTGCACCCGCCGAGGCCTTCAGGCGCTGTCACTAGCGGCCTCCTAGCCCTCGGAGCCACGCCCTTGGGAGCACCTGGGAGAGCGGGGAGGGGGTGGGAGGCGTGGGAGTAGGAGAGGGGGTGAGGGTGGGGATGGGAGGGTGGGCAGAGCTTGGCGTCCTTGGGGAGCCCGGCAGGCTGCCGCGCGGCTCCGGGCTGTCCCAGTTTCCTCGCCCCCCTGCCCGCAGCGGTCTTGCTCTTATCTCCCTCGCTCCCACCCGGCGGTTCTCACCTCGGTCCCAGACTCAGCCCTACAGAAGTCACTACACATCGCCACGAAGACTGAACGTACGGGAAACTCAACTTTCCCGCCACCAAAGCCATTTACCAACAGCGCGGGAGACGCAGCCAGTCAGACGCGCCGACCGTCGACGCGGAGCGCGCGCATGCGCATTGCGCCGGCCCCGCGGCCGGAGAGGCGGTGAGCATGCGCAGTAGGCCTGTGGGAACGCCCCCCCCTCCCCTCCCGGTGACGTCAGTATCCCGCGACCCAAATCGGTCTCTCTTCCGTCTCGGTAGAGACACCAGCGAGCTAGTGCGTTCATTTTCGTTTCTGTTACGAGCTTAGGTTCATTCGAATCAGGCAAAATTAGCATCGCTTGTTCTTCACATTTTTATTTTTAAGGGATTTAAGAGTGCATTTTAATAATAAATTTACTGAGCTGGGCATGGTGACTCGCCTCTGTGGTGCCGGCAGCTCGGCAGGCTGAGGCAGGAGGGAGGATCCCTTGAACCCAGGAGTTCGAGACCACGCTGGTCAAAAAATATGGCGAAACTCCCTCCAACAATCAGTTCTCCTTTGTCTGTTCTTGGCTTAAAAACCCCGACTGCTATATGTGTAATTCGTACTAATTTTGTTTAAAAAAAGAAAAAGGGAACTGGAGGTGTGGCTCAAGCTGTAGAGCGCCTGCTTTGCAAGCGTGAAGCCCCAAGTTCAAATCCCGGCTCCACCAAAACAACAACAACAAAAACCCGTATATACCGAGCTTGTGGGTTTGTCAAGTTCTTTGACCCGGGGGATGGGAGGGGGTAGGGGGGTGGTGTGTGGGGGGGGGACAGAAATCTATTACTATTGGTTGACAAGTGGCCATTTGTTAATATAGATGCATACATAGAACATTTATAACTTGTATTTTTTTGTGTAGAACTGAGGACTTTCAGTTCAGCCACTGTGATAAAATAAACTACTCTTGTGTAAGTGACCTAATCTGTGGTATTTTATTACGACAGCCCTGACATACAAATATTCCAATTAATAAACTTAAAATGAGGATACAGCAGACCAATAATGCCTATCATCAGGAATAACCCATTTGTGGCATCAAAGTGTTGAGATCAAGAAAATCAAAACCATGGTCAGTGATACAGCAACAAGAAACCTGAACGACCAAAAATCGTAGTTCTCCCTCATATGTGGACATTAGATCAAGGACAAACACAACAAGGGGATTGGACTTTGAGCACATGATACAAGCGAGAGCACACAATGGAGGGGTGAGGATAGGTAAGACACCTAAAATACTAGATAGCATTTGTTGCCCTTAATGCAGAGAAACTAAAGCAGATACCTTAAAGCAACTGAGGCCAATAGGAAAAGGGGACCAGGAACTAGAGAAAAGATTAGATCAAAAAGAATTAACCTAGAAGGTAACACCCACGCACAGGAAATCAATGTGAGTCAATGCCCTGTATAGCTATCCTTATCTCAACCAGCAAAAACCCTTGTTCCTTCCTGTTATTGCTTATACTCTCTCTACAACAAAATTAGAAATAAGGGCAAAATAGTTTCTGCTGGGTATTGAGGAGGGGGGAGAGGGAGGGGGCGGAGTGGGTGGTAAGGGAGGGGGTGGGAGCAGGGGGGAGAAATGAACCAAGCCCTGTATGCACATATGAATAATAAAAGAAAAATGAAAAAAAAAAGAAAAGAAATATACGATTTAACCCATGTAGGGTGCTTAAAAAAAAAAAAAGAAATCAGAACGAGGAATCTGGAGTACACTTTTTTCTTTTTAATTTTCTTTTAGTTATTGTGCAGTATTGGGGTTCGAACTCAGGGCCTTCACCTTGAGCCACTCCACCAGCCCTTTCTTGTGAAGGGTTTTTCAAGATAGGGTCTCACAGAAGTATTTGCCTGGGCTGGTGTCGAACCTCAATTCCGATCTCTGCCTCCTGAGTAGCTAGGATTACAGGCGTGAGCCACCAGCACCTGGCTCATACTTATCTTTATAAATGTACATATGTATACCCATTATAAAATATAGTATTGTATATATAAGAGAGAGAGAGAGAGTGTATTTACCAAATACCAGTCTTGTGTTAAATTCTGGTAACAACATAGGAGACATGCCTGAGTGGAATTTACAATCTATTATGTCATTTACTGGAACTGTTCTAAAAACTTACTCTTCCATCTGCTGTTACCTGTGTTTTACTTGAGCAAAACTGAGGTTGGCGCTCTTCCTGTCTTTACAGTCTTGCAGCTGGGTAATTAAGAACTAGTGATTATAATGAGAGGTAACACTTAATAGAGCTTTGTATGTACCTGGCAAGTGTCTTAAGTGCTTTATAGCTAATATCCACTTAGTCCTCACAGCCTGCGAAATAGGTGCTGGTGTCCCCATTTCACACATGAGGAAGCTCAGGCACAATTTGGACCCCTGTTCCTATGTTGGCAGAAAAACAGGAAGTAGGAAGTGAAGCCATGGGTACAAACAATTCCTTAAGGAAGCTTGGCTGTGAAAGGAAAGAGATAATGTAATATTTTAAAATGTACATGGGGAGGGGAGGATAAAGGAGAATGGTGGAGGGGGTGAATTCAAGTATGATGATTTGATGCATTTTAAGAACTTTTGTAAAAGCCACAGTGTACCCCCACCCAGCACAACAATTAAAAAAAAAGCCAGGTGCTGGTGGCTCACGCCTGTAATCCTAGCTACCCCTAGCTGCTCAGGAGGCAGAGAGCAGGAGGATCATGGTTTGAAGCCAGCCCTGGGCTCCCCTATCTTAACAAAACCCATCACAAAAAAAGGACTGGTGGAGTGGCTCAAGGTGTAGGCCCTGAATTCAAAAACCACCACCAAAAACAACAGGGGCTGGCAGAATGGCTCAAGCGGTAAGAGAGCCTACTTAGTGTGAGGCTCTGAGTTCAAACCCCCATGCCACCAAAAAATAAATAATAAAATGTATGTAGGAACTAGGCATGTTGACCTCTGCCTGAAATTCTACCCATTTGGGAGGTGGTGATAAGAGAATCAAAGTCCAAAGCCCTCCTCCAAGCAAAGGCAAGAGGCTTATCAGAAAATAGCTGAAGCAAAAAAGGCTGTGTGCGTGACTCCAATGCACAGTCTCTAAACTAGCAAGTGTGAGGCCCTGAGTACACACACACACACACACACACACACACATACAGGATCTGGAGATGCATATATTTATATATTGAAAAATAAATTCAATTCACAATCCTCCTGCCTCAGCCTCCCAAGTCTGGGGATTGCAGATTGCATCATCATGCCTAGCCTGGGGTTTTTTGTTTGTTTGTTTTTGTTTTTAAAGGCAAAGATTGGGGTATATTTAAATGCTGAAAGCAGAGCAGAGCAGGGAGGCAGAGAAGCAAAATCGAAAGTACAGGGTCTCTGCCGGGATTTTCATCTTTTTAAACCGAACTGGAGACTTAATGCTCGTTATTAACATCAACACTTTTCACTGACAATAAAATTACATCCTCCAATTTAAAAAAAATAATAATAAAGGCAAAGATTGGGGTATATTTAAATGCTGAAAGCAAAGAACTTTAGAGATTTAATGGCTACAAACATGATCTCAGAAAGGATATGTGATAGAGTTGGGAAGAAGAAAGTATGGGAATCTGTTTTTGATAAGAGAGGAAATCTCTTCTACTGTGACCAGAAACAAGGAGTCAGAATAGGTGGTGAATCAAAATGGTAGTGTGTATCTATAATCCCAGCTAATCAGGAGGTGGAAGCAGCAGAATCGTGAGTTGTCCAGGGCAGCCTGGGCAAAGGGAAGGGAGACCCAGTTTCAAAAACAAAAACAAGGTCAGGTGCTGGTGGCTCACGCCTATAATCCTAGCTACTCAGGAGGAGGAGATCAGGAGGATCATAGCTCAAAGTCAGCCTGGACAAATAGTTTAGGAGACCCTATTTTGAAAAAACCCATCACAAAAAATGGGCTGGTGGAGTGGCTCAAGAGGTAAGTGCACCTGCCTAGCAAGTGTGAGACCCTGAGTTCAAACCCGAGTGCCTCTGATAAATAAATGGCTGGGGGCATAGGTTACGTGGTAGAATGCTTGCCTGGCATGCTTGAGACGCTGGACTCCCTCCCCGGAACTGAAAAAAAAAGCACAGACACAGCTGCAGATAAATTCTAGGGTGAGGGGTTCAAAGTTGAAAAAATTCTAGTCTGAGAACTTTTTTTAAAATTTTAAGTGGAAAGCAGATTGGGCTGGGGTGTGGCTCAAGTGGTAGAGTGCCTGCCTACAAAGGTGAGGTCCTGTGTTCAAACTCCAGTACTATCCCCCCGCAAAAAAGTGTTGGGTTTTTGAGAGAGGGCCTCTCAAAATTCACTTCCCTGAGCTGACTTCAAACTGAGATCCTCTTGATCTCTGCCTCCTGAATAACTGGGACTTCAGGAACGAGCCACCAATGTCCCCAGCCTTGATTCATTGTAATACACAGAATTCTTCTAATATGGCAGTACTTATTTTAACTAGGAAAGCCACCTGCTGCACTTGCCTAGATCACACCTCAGGCTCTGTACTTTAGGACCGTTTGTTTGCATGGAGCTTTCCTCCCCCACGAGGATCTTGTAAGGACACTGATGTTTGCTCAATGACAGAATCACGTGGCAACACGGATCTCAGGACATACCCCATCGTTAAGTGATGTGTGGCTGTAGGAGCACTGGCCATCAGTATCAAGATGACAAATGAAAAACTTCTTGCCTCCATTTGTATTTTTCACCCATCCATACTTTTCACTACAAAACCTAGTGCATTTTTCATGGGTGACATGCAGGTTGCAAGCCAGCAAAAACCCAATGCTGATTTATTTAGACAATAAATGGACTGTACTGAGTCTCAATGCTGGAAGTCCAGAGGCAAGACACGCTTCAGAGGGAGCTGAGTTGAAAGGCTCCATTAGACAAACATGAACCTAGCTTGTTTTTTCTTACGTCAGACTATATGCTCCACCTTGGCCCTTCTAGGACTGTGTCCATACTTGAGACATAAACGTGACAAGGAATGAAATCGGGCTGTTTAGCTTAGTCCTCAGCCTTATGCTCCACATCTAGATGAAGGGGTACAGGTGAATTCTTTCAAAATGT